TCAGCAAAAATTTAACATTTCCGCTACTTTGAGCTCAGTTTCAAGCCATTTTCAGTATTAAAACCAATCAAAATCATCTGTATTTCTGTAATATATCTTCCATTCTGTCGAATGAGACCAAGAAATCGCAAATACATCTATAATAATAATAATAATATCTTTATTTACTGCAAGTACATGTACATGGTATACAGGCGTACCTGGCAACAATGACATACTACTATATAGAAAGCCCTTGTTATGCTCCACATGTCGGGCAAATTAGGTCAGTGTCCCAGGATGCGACCCACACCAGTCGACTAACACCCAGGTAAACATCAAAATGGTATACAATACCGGCAGGTTGTTAGGTAAGACACATATGCAACAGTTAGACAACTTTATTCCGAAACGTTTCGCCTGTCGGTATTGTATACCATTTTGATGTTCATCTTGTCAGACACTGCAACACATGGCATCTTGGTACAGAAAACACCTTGGACAACCTTTTCAAGTGAGAAGTGTTAGATCTGAGAGGGACATGACCTCTCAGTGGCTACATTCTCACTACTACTACTACTACTCTGCACCTCTCCTTCCGACAGTATTTAAGTCTCCGCACTGTCGCTTGATCTTCAGATAGTTCCTGACTATGGAACTGAACTTCTCCAGGCTGAGGGACTGACAACCTCAAATTCTACGACTTTAAGGGTGATGGATTGATTACATCGTCTTCACATCTCTATTGTTCCTGCCTACTTTCTGTATTCGACTGAAGAAGCCTACTGTGTAGGCGAAATGTTTCGGAATAAAGTTGTCTAACTGTTGCATATGTGTCTTACCTAATAACACCCAGGTACCCATTTTACTGATGGGGAACATAGACAACAGGTGGAAAGAAACACGCCCAATGTTTCTACTCTGGCTGGGAATCAAACCCAGGCCCTCGCCCTGTGAAGCGAGAGCGTTAACCACCAGGCCACCAGAGTCCAACATACGAAAAAACACTGCAAAGTCGCTGCTTTAATAGAAAATTACGGTCTCAGTTTTTTCTATCATTATGCACTGTGTGCTGCAGGATTTGTTTTATGTGGTGCACACATACCACATAGATGTACTCTCTCATATCTAGGCCCAAATTTACCGCTCACAGCTTATCAGAGTGAGCTGAGCTCGTGGCGAAGATCTACGGTTTGGACCCTCAACATAAAGCCATAGTTCTACGGCATGGACCCTGAAAGGGCTAATATTTGAATTTATTGTTTTGTAAATGTAGGGTGCACAGTACAGTAATTTTCTTGTTACCCCCAGTAATATTATAGTGTAAACATTTTCTTTGATGTTGGATTAGAGAAAACATTATTCTTGCCATCACTCCTACAAGTCGCCTGGCTACCACATCTCATATTTATGTTAATTTATTATACTGTGGGGTGTATTTATCAATGATTATATGTTATGTAGCATGTTTGTTATATAATTTTGAAAAAATATTCCATACATGGATTAATGGAAATGTCTATAATAAAGTAATATATACATTTAATGCGCCCAAGAGATTATTATTAGTATTATTAATATGCGTCAAGAGTAGAGAGACTCTTAGTTATTTTAATGTTTACCTGCACTCCATCACAGTGTAAGTATACAGTATTTAGGTACAGGTACACATAAGTATAATTATCAGAGTACATATAAAATATGCAATAACTTTAAAACACTTGAAATTCTGGAAAGTTTGCAGACATAATAGAGACGTGCTCACGGAGAATGTCAACAAACTGGGTGGGGTGCGCCGTATTAGAAAGATAGGGAGCTGTATAGCGAGTTTTGGTCATAATTTGAAATTGCCGTATTAGCGGAACGCCGTAAGGCGGGGAACTACTGTAGTAGGTGTGAATATTTTGTATAGTAAGTAGGCTAAGGTCTTTGAAGAGCAGGGGGGTGGGTTGTCTAGCATTGGATTGTGCAATAATTCATACTGCAGCTTTCTGCTGAGTTATTACTGGCTCAACAAAAAGCTGCAGGACAAATTATCACACAATCCAATGTTAGAGAGCATATCCCCCTGTACCATTTGGTACAGATGAAGTACTTTCCTGCCAGTTCCACACCCTGTTAGATGGTGAGTATGTATCAGCCATCGCTGTCACAGCTAATGGTCTTGTCACTGCTGGTCTTGTCACTGCTGGTCTTGTCACTGCTGGTCTTGTCACTGCTGGTCTTGTCACTGCTGGTCTTGTCACTGCTGGTCTTGTCACTGCTAGTCTTGTCACTGCTGGTCTTGTCACTGCTGGTCTTGTCACTGCTGGTCTTGTCACTGCTGGTCTTGTCACTGCTGGTCTTGTCACTGCTGTCATGGCTAGTATTGTAAACTGGTTTTGTCACAGCTGGTGTGACTGTTGTTGTCATGGCTGGTGTTCTCACAACTGTTGTTGTCACAACTGGTGTTGTCACTACTGGTGTTGTCACTGGTGACATGGCTGGTGCTGTTGTCATTGTCATGGCTAGTGCTGTTTTGTCATGGCTGGTGCTGTTGTCATTGTCATAGCTGGTGCTGCTGTCATAGTCATGGCTGGTGCTGCTGTCATAGTCATGGCTGGTGCTGCTGTCATAGTCATGGCTGGTGCTGTTGTCATTGTCATGGCTGGTGCTGTTGTCACTGGTGTTGTTGTCAGGGCTGGTGTTGTCACTGTTGCTTTGTCATGGCTGGTGCTGGTGTTTTAGTCATGGCTGGTGCTGTCGTCACTCTTCTTGTAATGGCTGGTGCTGATGTCACTGGTGTTGTCAGAGCTGGTGCTGTTGTCATAGCTGTCACACCTGGTACTGATGTTATGGCTGGTGCTGTTGTCACTGGTGTTGTTATGGCTGGTGCTGTTGTCACTGGTGTTGTAATGGCTGTTGCTGCTGTCACTGGTGTTGTCATGGCTGGTGCTGTTGTCACTGGTGTTGTCACGGCAAGTGCTGTTTTCACGGTAGGTGCTGTTGTCACGGTAGGTGCTGTTGTCACTAGTGCTGTTGTCACTGCTGTCACGGCTAGTGCTGTTGTCACTGGTGTTGCCACGGCTAGTGCTGTTGTCACGGATAGTGCTATCGTCACTGGTGTCACAGCTAGTGCTGTTGTCTGGTGCTGTCAGAGCTAGTGCTGCTGTTACTGGTGTTGTCATAGCTAGTGCTGTTGTCACAGCTAGTGCTGCTGTCACTGGTATTGTCATAGCCAGTGGTGGTATCAGTGGTGTCACAGATGGTGCTGTTGTCATGGCTGATGTCACTGTTGTCATGATGTTATCACCGGTGGTGTTGTCACTGCTGTTGTCATGGCTGCTGGTGTTGTCATCACTGGTGCTGTTGTCACTAGTGTTGTCTTGGCTGGTGGTACTATCACTGCTATTGCTGCCCTGGCTGTTGTCACAGCTGGTCTTGGTGCTGCATGTCATTTTCTAATACCAATGAACGCACAATTAAAATCACAATCAGTCTCCTGCATCAGTATCATGCTGTCTAGATGTCTTACTATATTATTATTATTATTATTATAATCAAAAAGAAGCGCTAAACCACAAGGGCTATACAGCGCTGATGTCTGCTATAGAACAATGAAACAAGACACCAGCAAGTGTCACACCTTCTGTGACGCTGCACTATTTTATAGGAGATTATTCTGCATCACTATCACTGGAATCGCCATTCTGCTCCTTATATTTCTCTCCGTTCTCATCACTCCAATCACTATCCAAATCAAGGGTAAAAAGCTGTCAATATCCACTTTTTGTGGTATGACCAGAGATGGAAGGTAAGTTTATCGAAGTACAATTATAATACATAATGTGTGTAAATTACCTAGGATAACGCAGTTAAAGTTGAATTAGCGGTTTCTTAATTCCTGGTCAAACCATCATTGATGTCACCTTCACATCCAGATAATGATGCTTCATTATCATTCTCAATGTCATGTTAAGCTATGTTTACCGGGTATTACCCACAATGCCCTGGGTATACCCACATACCCTGGATTATTTTCCTAGGAGGCATGAGATAGTTACCACACACACTGCCAAGGCCTAAAATGGCAGCGCATAGCAAATTTGAGGCCTAGAAAAATTTTACTTGCTTGTATGTTGGACACAATCCAAGATTTAAATTTAGTAACTTTATTAATCTTTATCACATCTTCATTGTTACTTTTTACTCTCATTATTTTGTATCAGAATTATTATCCGGCCTTTCTAATTGCAATAACAAAATAAAAAATAATTAATAAGAAGAAATATAAAAAAATAGCAAATATTAAAATATATTATAACATAGTAACTAATAATATAGTATAATAACTAAATAATAACTAATATTAATAAAAAACATAATTAAACAGGTTATAATTAATATCTTTTAAGGGGAAGCTCTAAACCCGTACTGGTTATATAGTACCCAAAGAATGCGAGGCAATCATCCTTGATCCAAGGAGAGGGAAGGCTCCAATACCTGGAATCAAGAGCCCAATACCAGGAAACTGTCCTAACCCCTGCAGGTGCTGTTGCAGGGATCTTGATCCGTGGTAGCAGGATTATAATAATAAAAACTAGGTGCTAAACCCACAAGGGTCATATATCTCTCCAGTAGTAAAATAATCTTCCATTTCCTTGGATCAAACTTCATTACTTTCTATTTCTCCGGTGATTCAATATGTGATTATTACATTTAGGGGAGAAGCGCTAAGCCCGTAGGAGCCACACAATGCCTGGAGGACCTGGCGGCAATCAGCTACGATCCAAGGAAGCGGAGAATCGCTGAAGTTCCCTGGATCAAGAGCACTTCAGTGATAATACAGGTAAACAGCTGATCATTTGTTGACATCAGCAGAGCAGAGGTGCGACCTTATTACAGCATTTAACAGCATAATTGGGCAGTTACAGCATTGTTGCTGTCATGGCGGGCAGGAGGCAGCTTGCTGCAGCTGCAGCTGCTGTAACACTGTTAATATAACGAGTATGTGAGGATATAATGAAGTAATAATGACTCACCAGGTACTGTCTTCCTCCTCCAGTGTCATGACTGACTAACACTGTTGCCAGACACCACTAACAACCCTCACTCCATCACTGGGCCCGGGGACCAGGGCCCGGGGACCAGGACCCGGCGACCAGGGACCAGGGCCCGGGGACCAGGGCCCGGGGACCAGGGCCCGGGGACCAGGGCTCGGGGACCAGGGCCCGGGGACCAGGGCCCGGCGACCAGGGCCCGGAGACCAGGGCCCGGGGACCAGGGCTCGGGGACCAGGGCCCGGGGACCAGGGCTCGGGGACCAGGGCCCGGGGACCAGGGCACGGGGACCAGGGCCCGGGGACCAGGGCTCGGGGACCAGGGCCCGGGGACCAGGGCCCGGGGACCAGGGACCAGGGCCCGGGGACCAGGGCCCGGGGACCAGGGCCCGGCGACCAGGGCCCGGAGACCAGGGCCCGGGGACCAGGGCTCGGGGACCAGGGCCCGGGGACCAGGGCCCGGGGACCAGGGCTCGGGGACCAGGGCCCGGGGACCAGGGCCCGGGGACCAGGGACCAGGGCCCGGGGACCAGGGCCCGGGGACCAGGGCCCGGGGACCAGGGCCCGTGGACCAGAGCCCGGGGACCAGGGCCCGGGGACCAGGGCCCGGGGCCCGGGGACCAGGGCCCGGCGACCAGGGCCCGGGGACCGAGGACCAGGGCCCAGTGATGGAGTGAGGCTTTGTCAAGCCGTAAAGGCTTGACAAAGTTCCTGGAGAGCGAAACGTTGCCACAATAAAATGTCACATTAGTTACAATTGTGTCCTTTTAATTTACAACACTATATCTGAATATAAAACAAATTCCAACCACACGATAAAGAGAGAAATTAATGTAAAAGACCTGGGAGTGATCATGTCGGAGGATCTCACCTTCAAGGACCATAACATTGTATCAATCGCATCTGCTAGAAAAATGACAGGATGGATAATGAGAACCTTCAGAACTAGGGAGGCCAAGCCCATGATGACACTCTTCAGGTCACTTGTTCTATCTAGGCTGGAATATTGCTGCACACTAACAGCACCTTTCAAGGCAGGTGAAATTGCTGACCTAGAAAATGTACAGAGAACCTTCACGGCGCGCATAACGGAGATAAAACACCTCAATTACAGGGAGCGCTTGAGGTTCCTAAACTGTATTCCCTGGAACGCAGGCGGGAGAGATACATGATTATATACATCTGGAAAATCCTGGAGGGACTAGTACCGAACTTGCACACGAAAATCACTCCTTATGAAAGCAAAAGACTCGGCAGACGATGCAACATCCCCCCAGTGAAAAGCAGGGATGTCACTAGCACGATAAGAGACAACACAATAAGTGTCAAGGTCCCAAGACTGTTCAACCGCCTCCCAGCATACATAAAGGGGATTACCAAGAGACCCCTGGCTGTCTTCAAGCAGGCACTGGAGAAGCACCTAAAGTCGGTACCTGATCAGCCGAGCTGTAGTTCGTACGTTGGGTTGCGTGCGGCCAACAGTAACAGCCTGGTTGATCAGGCCCTGATTCACCATGAGGTCTGGTCACAGACCGGGCCACGGGGGCGTTGACCCCCGAAACCCTCTCCAGGTATACTCCGGGTATAAGGGGCCCTCTGGCAGGGGGGCCCGGGGCAGTTGCCCCCCTTGCCCTGTTACAAATCCAGCCCTGCTCCATTATGCTCCTCATCCAGGGAGTTGGAGTTATAATCCTTATTTACACGATGTATGATACTCACAAACTTTTAATCCAAGGAGATGGAGTTATAACCCTCTTACCTGAAGCAATTTGCCTTCACCGTCGTCCCCCAAAATTATCAGCAATAATTAGATTACGTTTTTATTACTGTATTTAGATGAAGGCGCTAAACCTGTATAGGAATGAGAGTTGTTAAATAAGACACATATACAACAGTTAGGTATCTGTACTCGACTGAAGAAGCCTACTGTGTAAGCGAAACGTTTCGAAATGAAGATACCTAACTGTTGCATATGTGTCTTACCTAACATCCTGTCGGTATTTTATACCATTTTAATATTCATGTGAATGAGAGACAATCATGTTTGATATGAGGAAGAGGAGGGTAGCTCTAATTCCTTGAGCAAGACCTCTTCTACAACGTTAGTTAGTTTAATGTTTATTATGTACCCCATGCCCATCCTGTGGGCAGTAGTCACCCCATACCCATCCTGTGGGTGGTAGTCACCCCATACCCATCCTGTGGGTGGTAGTCACCCCATACCCATCCTGTGGGTGGTAGTCACCCCATACCCATCCTGTGGGTGGTAGTCACCCCATACCCATCCTGTGGGTGGTAGTTGCCCCATACCCATCCTGTGGGTGGTAATCACCCCATACCCATCCTGTGGGTGGTAGTCACCCCATACCCATCCTGTGGGTGGTAGTTACCCCATACCCATCCAGTGGGTGGTAGTCACCCCATACCCATCCTGTGGGTGGTAGTCACCCCATACCCATCCTGTGGGTGGTAGTCCCCCCCATACCCATCCTGTGGGTGGTAGTCACCCCATACCCATCCTGTGGGTGGTAGTCACCCCATACCCATCCTGTGGGTGGTAGTCACCCCATACCCATCCTGTGGGTGGTAGTCACCCCATACCCATCCTGTGGGTGGTAGTCACCCCATACCCATCCTGTGGGCAGTAGTCACCCAATACCCATCCTGTGGGTGGTAGTCACCCCATACCCATCCTGTGGGCGGTAGTCACCCTATACCCATCATGTGGGCAGTAGTCACCCCATACCCATCCTGTGGGCGGTAGTCACCCCATACCCATCCTGTGGGCGGTAGTCACCACATACCCATCCTGTGGGCAGTAGTCACCCCATACCCATCCTGTGGGCGGTAGTCACCCCATACCCATCCTGTGGGCGGTAGTCACCCCATACCCATCCTGTGGGCGGTAGTCACCCCATACCCATCCTGTGGGCGGTAGTCACCCCATACCCATCCTGTGGGTGGTAGACACCCCATACCCATTGTGTGGGCAGTAGTCAACACATACCTATCCTGTGGGCGGTAGTCACCCCATACCCATCCTGTGGACGGTAGTCAACGCCTACCCATCCAGTGGGTGAAAGTCACCCCATGCCCATCCTGTGGGTGGTAGCCACCCCATACCCATCCTGTGGACGGTAGTCAACACATACCCATCCTGTGGGCGGTAGTCAACACATACCCATCCTGTGGGTAGTAGCGAACACATACCAATCATGTGGGCGGTAGCCAACACATGCCCATCCTGTGGGCGGTAGCCAACATATACCCATCCTGTGGGCAGTAGCCAACACATACCCACCCTGTGGGCGGTAGTCTGCAGGCATCTGCGGTATCTGCAGGCATGGGAAATCTGGAAAAACAGACGGGACGTGCAACTATGACCACCCTAGAAAATGCCTTGCCCATATGACAACAGGAAAATGCAAACTCCCTTCCTGTAAGCTTTTTCACCCTGAAATGTGTACCTCTTCAGTACAGGAAAGACTGTGCTATAACTTAAATTGCCAGGCACACCATCTAAAGGGGACAAAAAGATACAAAACATCCAGGCCATGGGAAAACCTGGGTAGCCACAGCCACTCAATGGGAGAGGTTTTTTAGTGCCAGGAAGGAAAAAAAACTGGCAGGAAATGGCAGAAATAGTACAAACCCAAAACCAGTCATTCCTGGAGTGGAACCACAGTCGATGGCCTCCACTCCAAACCAACAGATACAGATACTAATGCCGGAAAAAAAATCCCCCCCCCAGTACCAACAATACCACCAGTCCGATAACATTCTTCTTTGCAAATATACAGGGTCTAAAGCCAGCAACAAACAACAAAATACCTTTCATCCGTGGACTGCTTGCAGAGGCAAAGGCAATGTTCGCGGCTTTCACTGAGACCCACATAAAGGATCACTTGGACAACGAAATATGGATCCCAGGTTACAACCTATACAGATGTGACAGAGTGAACAGGCAAAAGGGGGGGGGTTGGCCTGTACATTGCAGAGTCACTTGTTTGCACAGAACTGCTTAATGCCTCAAATGATATAGTGGAAGTTTCAGCAGTAAAGGTCGAGAACCAAAACCTAGTCATTGTGATAGTCTACAAGCCTCCGGATGCAACATCCCAGCAATTCCAGGAACAGCTGTTAAAAATTGACCACTGTCTGGAAAATCTTCCAGCTCCTGCACCCAACATCTTGCTCCTGGGGGATTTCAACTTAAGGCACTTAAAATGGAGGAATATAGCAAATAATATTGTTGCAGTAATAACACCAGGAGGCAGCTCTGATGAAAACTCACACTCACACGAGCTTTTAAATCTCTGCACAAAATTCAATTTAAACCAGCAAATAGTAGAGCCTACTAGACTGGAGAATACACTAGACCTCATCTTCACTAACAATGATGATCTGATAAGAAATGTCACCATATCAAAAACAATATACTCAGGTCACAACATAATTGAGGTTCAGACATGTATGCGTGGAGCCCCAGACCGACATAATGAGATTAGTCACGAGGGAGCATTCACCAAATTCAGCTTCAATAACAAAAACATAAAGTGGGACCAAGTAAACCAAGTCCTAACCGATATAAGCTAGGAAGATATACTAAGCAACACAGACCCCAATATATGCCTAGAACAGATTAACTTGGTGGCACTCGATGTATGCACAAGGCTTATTCCTCTAAGAAAAAGGAGGAGTAGATGTAAAACAGAAAGAGACAGGCGCTCCCTTTACAGGCGAAGGAAAAGAATAACAGATCGGCTAAATGAGGTCAATATATCTGAAATGCGTAGGGAGACACTGGTCAGAGAAATAGCAAGCATCGAACTTAAGCTAAAGGAATCTTATAGGAGTCAGGAATCGCAGGAAGAACTAAAAGCCATAAATGAAATCGAAAGAAACCCAAAGTATTTCTTCTCCTATGCCAAATCAAAGTCGAGAACAACGTCCAGTATTAGGCCCCTACTTAAACAAGATGGGTCGTACACAGATGACAGCAAGGAAATGAGTGAGTTACTTAAGTCCCAATATGACTCAGTTTTTAGCAAGCCGCTAACCAGACTGAGAGTCGAAGATCAAAATTATTTTTTTTATGAGAGAGCCAC